TTCATTAATATTGTATAATACAAAATATAAAATGCTCACCTTGCCGGGTGGCAGTTTGGTATGTACGACTGACGTCCCTTCCGTGGGACTATCATCTCCCGAATTAGATGTCTGACTGATTTCCGTCGCGCTTTTCCTCCTATCGTCGAAAATCTGATCATGTGTACTTTTCTTCCGAGTCTCGATGTGAATCACGTTGCTATTGGTTTCACTTTCGCTCTTTGTAGAAGAAACTGGGCTATCGATGTCAGTATCCATATACGCTCCCGTCTCGTCCAGATTTTTTCTAGTATATTCTAAAAAATAAAAAATAAAAATTATATATTTACAATACAGAAAACAATATGGATGTTTGAAATGGTCATGCCGTTCCTCAATAACTGACCTTCTGTGCAAGCGCTCTGTGAGATATCCATGTTATTCAACGCAGAGTTTACGCCCAGGTATTCCTCGGGTGTTTCTTCAACGAGAGAACTGTCCATTTTCTCGGGTTTCTTGCTATCGATAGGATTACGATACTCGAGATCCGGAGTTTCGTCCACGCTGATAGATTTGATGGAAATGGAATCTTCTGACGTTAGGTTTGTCGTGGAGACAGCCTGAGAACCGTAACCGCTACTACTCATACTTGGCGTGTTGATCTTGGTCGATTGTAGCTCAACCAGAGAATCCAATGTGCGTGAAGAAGTTAACGGTTTTGTCGGTTTTGGTGGAGCCTAGGCGCAATTATACAGTTTCAATAGCATTATATACTTGGATATTATCGCAAAATGGCTGACTCTGCTAATATATCAACGGATTGACATAATAATATGCAGGTACTATAATTTATCACACACATTATTAATTGCTTGCTTCGTTTCTTAGATAATATTTGATCTATATAGAAATTATACCTGATATGCCTCATATTCAGAGTAATCGGCATCGCTTTTCTCCTCGTCATCGTCATTAATGGGAGTAAATGCTTGGTTTCCAACATTAGACGTTTCCTCATGCAACGTGGTCATACGAGGACCCAGTTTGCTACTGACTATATTTGGAGATGCTACAACCAATACAATTAAATCGATAACATGTGATTGACGATAAAAAATATTTTTTTTCAACACAAAACATATTGTACTGTTAAACATCAGGGCCGATCTGGCCGTGGTATATATAATAACTTTTTATCTTAATTATATTATTTCTGCAAAATAATTAATTTTGTATTAACAATATACATATGCTGTATTCTTATTTTAACAAATATTGACGGATACTGATGGGTTTATGAATTACGAAAACGTTATATTAAAATGTGCCAGGTCGGTTCTGATATACATATATATATAAATATGAAAAATCATCCATGCATTTTCAAAACATAACAGAAAAATATCTTGCATATTCTACGCTTACTTATATTCTTTGATATTAATAATTTATTTATATCAATCACCTAAATCAACTTTTTTAAGTTTCACATATTATTAACTCTTGTTTTAGATAATTGATATCGAACAATTCAAGAAAAAAAAAACAAAAAAAAAACGTAGAATATACAACCTGAAATAAAGAAATAAATCATGAGATGGTCAAAAGGATTCTGTAAACAATAAACGTTCGACATATAAAATATTACATACTGCACTTTTAGTACAGTAATAACGATGATTTAACGGTGATTATGTGATTTCACAAACCATCTAAAATAAAACACCTAAAATAAAACGAAAAATCACTACTTTCAATCCAATCACTACTATTTAATGTGCTATACTAACATCTAATAGTTGAAATAAGAAAATCGACTACACTATAAATATGACCGAGTTCATCCTTTCAAACTTCTACTACTCTCTCTCTCTTCTATGCTAGAATTCTCCTTGAGAATTGATATTATATTTAGGGTGTCTACTCAAATCTTGTAAACAAATTCCCTGAAAATTTCCTGATCTTCCACACACAGATATATTTTTGTTCAAAATTTTAGATAAAGAGAATATTTTAAAGATCTTTATGGTGTAATTCTCTAACATAAATTTTTTTTATTATATGCGTGTTTGGAATCGGCTATGAGAAGATGAGTTTGAAAGGATGATCGACAACGACGTGTCACCTACACTTGGCAGAGGTAGACTGTTGAAGACGTGTCAATGAGTTGAGATTCAGGTTCAGATTCAGGAAAGTTGGTCTCGCTGAAAGGAGACAGATATACTGATTATACTTGTTTTTTCCTTATCTCCCAATTAATTAATAATACTACGTTCCTTTTCATAATGGCGAGCTTCATAGATTTTTATACATGAGCTTTATGGACATTTTTACAAACTTATATATCACAAATCATGCCTGCAAGACACTGGATAGTGAACCAAGTAGACAGATAACGTACATTGTCTGACGCGGATATTCTAATACGTAAATTCCATCAAATGTTCATGTCACATCGCAGTCCTATTAATTTAAACATCAATATTTATGACATTTCATACATGTTGCACTTTTCATTTTTCCTTTACATTGTGATATTCCATTTCAATAACAATTTTAATAACTCGCCATTGCATTTGCAAATTCAAGATGCACGTGTTCGAAATATGTCTATATGTATATGTTTATCTTCATGATGATAGGTGTGTAAATGATAAATAAATAAATATATATAAACATCACACACATAATTCGATGACGCGCATAATGAATTTAAGATCAAGTTTTTAGAGATGATTAGTTTAAAGTCGAAGATAATGACACAGTTTTCTTTATATATTTAGTTATATTGTATCAAAAAAATATTGCAATAATTATCTTATTTAGAATTTTTTGTATGTATTTTTGTATGCTGTTACATAAACTAATTATATATAGACTATATGATTTAACCATATACATGCTGCACTATATTTGAATTGCGATACCATGCATAAATAAGGCTTAATCTTTCAGCTTTTCCATTATTTTTGTCTACAGTTAATTTCATATTTATAAAGATATATCCCTGACTTTAAACTGAATCTCTTTTTATAAAACAGATAAAAGGGAGATATTTATATATTATGTTATTATTTCGAAACTATTGATTTTTACAGATTCCCGGCTCCATGTTTTGCTTACATATAAGAGATTTATTCCGTTTCTTTATTCTATTATTATATCTTTTTTTCCTGCGAAATCATATTAAAATAAAATACAAATGAATTGAATAATATATTAATTACATTATGAAGGTAGTGATAAATTTATATATTGAACGGCATTATTTTTGCGTTTAGAAACAGAATAATCCTCATGTCCAATGTCTATTAACTACAGAAAATATTTATTTACATGAATATTACAATAAACTTTCTATTCCCTGCCTAGACTATTGCTCAATAGCAAATTCACAAGTTTGTATATATGCTATATATGAGATAAAGATTGAGACATTGCAGTTTTTTTAATATAATGCAACATTTCAATCTTTGATTATTTTACACGTTTTAAAATAAATTTGTTAAATGCAATCAACTTTATCCGCACAAGCGTACATTTAACAAATTATCAGAGATATCATTATAGAAATCATCTTGATTCATAAAATCGCTTATAAAAGAGAAGGTTTTAAGAATCATATCGTATTACGAATTATGATAATAGATATATGGAAATATGAAAATGATTTCTATGTGATGATTTTGGCACAAAAGGTGCGACAACACGGCACGCATGTGCATATATGTATACACACACAGTTGCTTGTTAATATTATCTTTTACACTTGAACAAAGTGAACAATAACATATAAAATGTACCAATATCAATTAACCATATAAAATGTGAGAAAATCAAACAATTCAATGAACAAACTTGTTGATATATGTAATAGACTGCACACAAGAAATGCATTCACATGCAAACTAACAATTAGCAGGGGGGACTAAAACGTAATGTTGACGCAATGAAAGTGCATTCAATTGAAACGAAAAAGAAAAAAAAACGTCAAGGCAATCTCCTCGGTATGATAACGCTAAACTCTTTTTAAGTCAACTAAACAATCGAACAAGTGACACTTACGGAAACATATACTGACCGTCAAAACGCATTCTTATTCTGAACATTACTATTACAAATAATGTCTCTTTGATATATATACTAAGGCGAACTTTGAAACAAAAAGACAAACAGACTCAACCACTCACGAGACATATGTACTAATTGTCATTGCCAATATGGCATCAATTAAATATCAAATCAAGACTCCATTTTACCTGAGTTGAGAATGGAGCCTTGCGTGGGCCGAAATAGTTGTAGAAGTAGTAGACGTAGAGTTAAACAGAGGAACAGATTAGTTGCATACATTAATTAGTCGACATTCATTAATTTTTCTGTAGAATTCATTAATCGAAGTTTGTTGGTGTTTTATTTATTGTAATATAAGTGGTGGAGCGCGCTTAAATGTAGCTGCTAAAACACTAGGCAAATTTTGGGAGAGTAAATTTTACTATGCTCAACTCTCTTTGTGTTATCAAGTGAATATTCTTAAAATTATTATAAGATTCGAGATATATATATATATATATATATATACAAATTATATACTGTGTGTGTGTGTGTGTGAATGTGTATATACAGGGTGTCGAGTAGTAACCGTATCACCTCTCGTGTGTAGATAAAGCGGCTTAAATCGAGGAAAAAAGTCCTTTATCATTTTGCGGTTTTCGCAATGATTATTGAGAAATTAATTAAAAAAGATTGGTCAATTTGCGCGAATGTAAGCGCGCAGTGAGAAAGGACAGCCCATTGATATGTGATTGCTAGGACGCGAGAATCCAACTTATGTACCGCTCGTACGTAACCGTTGTCATTTGTAGATCGCTTCTTTCAAAACTTCGTCGCACGCCTAGCGATCGCATACTTTTGGGTTGTCTCTTCTCGCCGCGCGTTTATACTCGCACGAATTGGTCGATCTTTTTTAACTAATTTCTCAATAATTATTAGGAAAATCGTAAAAGGACTTTTCTCCTCGATTTTATCTGCTCTACCTGCACGAGAGATAATACGGTTATTATCGGACACCCTGTATATATATATATATATATATGTGTGTTATATATATATATATATATATATATATATATAAATACAGTGTCATGTGAATTATCAAGTTGAACATAGCTTGGTGATGTAACAATATGACAGAAGCTAGAATTATAATAAAAAGATTTTAGTGTAGTGATTATATTAATAATGAAATTGAAGTTATTTATCAAATATTTTATCTTAAATGGTAGCAGTAAGCTCTTTAAAGTGTGTCATTAATGTTCTATACAATATCTGTATTTTGTTTCATATTTTTTTATAATTTTTGTTATTCGTGACAACCTCCTTTTGATTTGTACAAATTTTATAAAATAATCGATACTTTGTGCCTTTACAATCTACAACCAATAGAAGGAATCTTGCAGACACACGCATAAAGAGCAAATACTAATGATGAATGATATGAATTTCAAAAAAATAGAATGCTCTTTTATGATCATAAAATTAACATCCCGAATGGAGCTTGAGACAATCAAAACTAGGGTGGGGAAAATATAAACCGTCATAGCCAAAGTGAGATATTGAAAACACTGCATAAGCCACATTTCAGAAACAAATTATTGATTTTTCATTGAATAAATCTCATAAAAGCAAATCAATGCAATGGAAAGTGATTGACATAAATCAAACTTTAATCTAAAACTAAAGTCCCTATAAAAAAAAAACACGATGCTATTAAATTTATTTAAGCATAAATTTAAAAATTTTATAGTGACTTAAGCAAACTAAATATTGCATTCAATATATACGACGAGTTTGCATATAAATACTTAAGATCTAAAGTAAAATCATATTAAAAACTCTTATTCATTTTTTCTTTTGTCAGAAGTAATCCATCTCTAACAATAAGTTTAACAGCATCTTTGTATTAGCCAAGAGCATTTTTACAAAAAATTATTTTTCTTAATATTATACTTAAATATTATGGATTTCCTGAAAATATCTATATATATATCTTTTAACATGAAATGGATTACTATAAATGATTATGAATGATTATATGAATGAATGAACGCATGTCCACATGGATGAATGGAGTCTGTATATCACGATGTCTATATATAATCTTTCTCTTTCTATGATTTCATAAACAATCCTGCTTCACAAGCATAACATATTATAAGCTATGAAAAAATATTTCTCATATTTTTGCACTCAACAATGCCAGCATAAATCTAATAATTCAAGATGTATATAGAAAGATGTGCATACACAAAATTAAGAAATCATAGAATATTTGGCTATATCTCTATTTATTTATGTGGTTCTGACATTAATGTAAAAGAAATAAAAAATACGCTTACCAATTCCAAATGGCTTTGGCGGTGCAGATATGAAGTTTTCGTCATTTCTCGTGTGACCTATGGACGCGCGTCGCGGATGCGGGAGACCATTCATTTCCGTATTAAGGTCTGTTACGCTTTCCGAGCGAGTAACATTCAATGAGTCCATCGACGTGTCAAATCTCATAATCTATAAATACCCATAAAAAACTTGTTATCAAATAAATATGATACACATATGATTAAATTAAAAGAGCATTAAAGAAAATGCGTACAAAAAAATAGAAAAAAAATTAAAAGTTTCCAAATTGAGACAAAATCTTAAATAAGAGATGATGTTTCAGTAGGAATTAGTTGACATTTTGATAATGGAAGGACGAAGAGCTTTGTGAGAAACGCTGTAAAATTAATTCGATAAAATTTATATAGAGAAAATCAAATAAAAATTAAAGGAAAAGTATATAGTACATCCTAGACGCTGAAAAGATAATAGTACCTGTGAGAAGTTTGGAACACTTGCAGTTTTGCGCATCAGTGGCTGGCCTTGCGCTTGTAACAATTCTTTTACAGCGACACTTTGTCGTAATCGGTCCAATGTTAATATACTTTCGACGGCTGAGACACCGCGAGTATATTTTTCTATAGAAGTGTGATTAACACAAAAAACTATGATTAATACAAAGAGACTTTAAGATACTCTCGGAATATAATTACGAATTTTATAATTCTCACCTATATACGTTTCTCCGTCACATAAACTATTATCTTCTCCGCTGGCAGCAATTTGCGCCAAGCTCTCGCGGTCTTCTAGCTCCTCGCTCGCTTTTGGTATGTTTGAAACTACTTCGTAGGTGACGCCGGTTTGCGTTAAACAATCAATTCGAACGATTCTCTTGAAAATTCTATCCGTGATACTCTGTCTCTTGTATATGTTTAAAGCTAATCTTTTACGCAGCACAAGATCCATAGGTGCTGGATGCGACAAGCGAACGGTAGTCTTCAGAATTAAGAACACCCTTTCGTTGGCTGAAAACGAAAAGTCATTACAAATAGATTGTTAATTGTTTAATCGTAATGAATGTATAAAAAACCAATAAATACCATCGGTCACTCTGTTAAGATGTACGTTATCGTGTATACTAGAATCCCAAGCGGCGATGGCACATACGTCTTTCTCTAAATGCCGAATAATCGGTAGATTATAAAATTTGTTTCCATGTTCTTTAGGTAGGATCGAGTTTAACCCTGTTACTGACACTTCCTCTCCCGATTGATGTGTTGAGAGATCATCAGCTGTATAATGATTCGAGACAGACGTGTTAATAAATCAAACGAAACATATTGATACATATATTGTGTGTATGCGCACGCGCATGTGTATAATGTATCAAATTTTTTTTTTTTTTTTTTTTGCAATACCATTGAGATCGAGGAATAATACGGGGATATGAGGTTCCATCCCTGTAGGGGGAGTCCAATCGGCAGGAGCACCAGGAATACCTGAACCCGCCGCAGGAACCAGAACGGCATTTCGTTCTTCTGTAAGACTAACCCACTGATCGACTAGACTTTGTTCTCGCTCCATGTCTTGTTCTGTTTTGTCTACAGAAATATGCAAAAATAGAAAAAGAATGTGTGAGCGGCAGAATGATATAAGTAAAATAAAATATTTGTATATTAGATATAAAATATACATTTTGCATCGAGATAACATTTCAATACCTTGTTTGTTAATGAGTTTCTGAATCTGTTGATCAAGATACTGTCGTCTTCTCATTAAAGCGTCGCTCCACTTCTCTCTTAATATACTCAGATCCTCGTCTTGATAGCTATCTAACGGAATTTGCAGTCGATTTCGTACGGACACGCTTCCAACAGCTATATTCAATATCGATTGACAGATAATCGGCAGGGTTCCAGAATTTTGTACCGGTTTCACTCGTACTTGTATCCGACGTTGCTGGCCTTGTCGAAGCTGATAAATGCCACCTAAGAAGCAAAAGTAATAATTATTCAACAATAAATAAGTAGAACGATATTCCGCTATGCTACAAGCATAATAATTGTAAACATTCTCACCTGTACACGTATCTTGTTTTACTGCGACTTCGACGGGCGAATATTCTCCCTGTTCGTTGAGTTCCTGTATTTCCACCCACAATTCGATCTTTCTCGTTAATTCCGACCATCGGTCAGCGAGCGATCTAGCTTTCGCCAATTGTTGTTGCTCCACTTCCCATCCAGGTTTACTACGGGAGAAACCCGCGCTGCGATGACCCCATACTTCTATACTGAACGCTCCTTCTACATACATGATAAACAAGCGTGAATAACTGAAGCAATCGTCTATTCCTGTATGAAAACAATAACGCACACAGACATAGAGAAAACACATGATAAATTCTTACCTGCGGCATGTTCCATAAACTCCTCCGTAATGGGTACTGTGAAATCCTTTGTATGATCAAACTTAAATGCCAACGAGTCCCTCTGTCCGATGATGCAATTCGAGTTGGGTACTTCCGCGTTTACCATAGGCGGTACCACTATAGGTTCCGGGTGACCCCAAAACATATATTGACAAAACACGAAATGGCTTAACGAGAGCGGTAAACCGGTGGCCTGTTTTATTGTTACGCGACAAGTAATATGGCTAGATCCTCCGGAATAATCCTCGGAGGACGTTTCGGAGGACGTCGAGTCCGCGGAAGATTCTGAAGCGGCCTCGCAAATCCGATCTTGAGGAAATTGTCCAGATATGCGACTTATCTCGACTTGCAGTCGACCAGCGACCTCTCCTTGCTGACTAATAATTGGAGTGTGATAATCTAATCGTACGTCATGGAATAGCACTTCTAAGAAAATATTTGCGACGCCGATAAGATTGTGATTCTCCTGGGATTCGTAAAATGGATCTTGTGTTTTTCCTGGCAATTCGTCCTGTAAAAACGAAAGAGAAAGAGAGAAAAATTTGTGCAGGAACTTCAAAAATATTTATAAAAATTTTAATATTTTTTATTCCATGCACATGTATTACCTTAATCGCAGGTAATCGTTGACAATTGTGAGGATCTTTTCGTTCCTCATACATATCTCGCATATCGATCAGCTTATTTTCTAGTTTTTCCATAGACCACACTTGACTACCCGTATTCGTTCTCTTCACTAAAATTGCGGGCTCACTGACAAACGCGCCCCGCTGAAAGAATACACTCTACATATCGAAGAGTGCAAAAAAAAAAAAAAAATAAAATAAAAAATAAATTAACCAAAAAAAAATGTAAAAACAAAAAAGAAAAATTAAAATCTGAATAAAAAAAAGAAAGTAACACTAAATGTGTAGTAATACACAACTAATAATAATTATAAAGACGTTCGCACAAATAACAAATAAATTGATAAAAATAAAAACTTATAAATATAATTAATGGCTATAATTATACATGAATAAAGTGAATAAGTTTGTAAATCATAAAAAATTGCATATAAGTGATGAAAAAAGATACAATATAAAAGAGGCAATATATAATTTAGTTTCACTATTTTACCTTTCTATTTGGACTTAGATTATTCGGAGGAATCTGCAAGGTGACGCTAAATTTCGTCTGTTTGCCCATCTCCTCCGCGAGGAAATTAGCCTCCTGTACCAACGAATTGGCCTTTAAAATATCCGTCTTCAATTGACCCAGACTCCGCTTGAACATCTCGTCTCGCTCCTGCGCCCACTTCTCGACACGCATTTGCGTGGTTGGTGTGCAAGCCGGGAGCTTTCCGCTTTGACTACCTCTCAAAGGATCGTACGGTACGTAAGGCGAATACGGCGTAGAGGGAGATAATATGTTGCGTAGCTGTTGAAACTGTCGTTCGTATTCCTGCCGCTGCTTTTCAAGTGCGACCTTCGACGTGTACAATAGATATAACATAAGTATGTGCTTTGTTAGTCCAATGCTTATTAAACGCGACGCAATAAAATATGTACCTGCTTATCTTCCTCGTGCTGTTTCTCCAGCCTCGCAATTGCCCGTTGAATCGGATCGTTCGAAAGTTCGTTAAGCATAAGCTCCTCTCTGGCAAAGTTATAGTCAATGTTCTGAGCGGGAGTTTGCGGCTCGCTATTGATTGCTACAAGACAGAATAGCGGCGATATAGAAATACGTGTCATTTTTTTGTGCTTCGTGAAAAATTGATACTTTTTTTTATTATGAAATCAATATACGTATATGAAATCGAATCGCACCTGTAGCGCTTCTTGGACAATTCACTCTGAAGAAATGATGGTTTCCCCAAACGATTCTATCGCCATGTTGTAATAGAGTCTTGTCTACAACTTGCGTACCGTTGACAAAACATCGAGCACCATTCAACGGCGTCATGTACAGACCTGACTCTTCTATCGTGATAACGCAATGTTCCGGTAGTATACCCAAGCCATGTAATTGAATATCCTGTTCTGTCTTAGCCGAACGACCGCCTACGAGAGTCCTTTCCTGAAATTCAGACATATGACTAATATGTGAGACGAATATATATGTGACAAACCACAAGCAGTAGTATACAAGTTAATAATATGTACATATATTATACAGTTAATAATATGTACATATATTATATACCTTGAGATAATAAACCAATAACTCGTTCAAACTTGGATCATCGTTTAAATTAACCAAGTAGTATTTATTTTTCTCTACTTGAATGCCGGACGCTTGTACGCTTATTCCCATCTTTTCGAGAGCCTGTTGCCTCTCGTGTTGCAGTCTCTCGGTTTTCACTAGTTTCTCCTCCCATGTCTGTGACATTTCCTTCATCAATCGTTCTGATTCCGATAGCTTTTCCGTAATGTCTGTGCGTTGTTGGCCGACAATCGATCCCTGAGCATAATTAAACGAGTTACATATACAATTATCTTTATATTTATATAAGAATAAATATATATAATCAAATATATAAAGAAAGATTCTCTTACTGTAGCGTGTAATAACATTTCCTTCAAGGCTTCAACCTCTTGTCTGAGTTCACGAATAATTCTGGCATTAGGATCCTCGTTAACTACGGCATGATTGACTATCCTCTTCGCTCTGTCGGCGTACCGGAGAGTCGATAACGTTTCTTCATAATTGTCCGCAGCCGGCGATATAGTGGCCACCATAACAGTTTTGCTATTGCCACCAAGATTATCCTAAAAACTTCACAAGATATATCCGACAATCAAGAAAAGACGCAAACGGAAAAGAGAAAAATATACCTTCAAGAGCCATGTAAGAACCGAATCTCTGTACGGAACAAAATTATCCTTCTTCTTGTTGTTGTTGACAGAATTCTGATCCGCCAATTTCGAAATGACTAGACCCAACGTCGTTAGGGACCTATTACAAATCAATCTTAGTTATGTTTCTCATTTCCACGCTGATGGAAGAAAATTTCCACGAAGTTCAAAAGATATTTACTTGTTAATATTGCTTCCTTCTTTAAGTCTATCACCTACTGCTCCAGTTTTCACAGCCCTTTCGCTTCCAGCTAAATCCACCAAGCTCATCCGCGAGACCTTCTCTCCGCTGACCCCGCTTTTCGAATCGGTTAGCGTCTGCGTGAGGATTACCGAGAATACGGCGTGCGAACGGGAGCTCTCGGAATTCATATTCGTCGCAGCAACCGTCCGCGACTTGTTGCCCTCCGCCATGAGATTATCGATATCCTAATATACGGTTTCGTGTGAATGAATAAATAATAATATGCATCGTTTAAATTCAAAAAAATTATCCACAAGTAAGAATGGACAATTAGCGAGAAAGAAAGCGGACAGTCACCTGAAAAGAAGTAACCGCCAATTGACTGAGTCCGTCTACGTAGGGCCCCAAGACATTGTGCTCTCTGACTTTGAGCGATTGTTTGTTCTGCTTTGGATCCAAGAGATCATGCACTTTCTCGTTGTAGATCTCCATGTACGAGACCTCGACCTTGTACGAGAGCTCGGAACTTTGCTGCTTCGCTATTATATCAAAGAGATTGTCACACAAGCGTGGTATTATCCCTTTGTTGTCGCCACTGCCCATCATTGTGTAAGACTTTCCGGAGCCTACAAGAACACGTATGTGAGAAACGACAATTAAATCCTCTTTACCATCTTTCTCAAAGTAAATGATTTTGAGCTTAAAGTTAATATTTTTAAATAAATCTGTATTATATATATCTTGTTTAAATATAATAATCGAAGAATTATTTATATCTGCGTGCGAGATTTTAAACTATAAAAAATCTGAAATATCCCATAAATATTTTCTCTTTTTTCTTATTTTTCCCTTTCTTATATGCATACTTTTTATTATAAAAATAATCACAAAAAGTTTATCATAATAAATGTTTAGTAACATTTCTCTCTCTCTCTCCCTCTCTCTCTCTCTTTCAAAATTTGATAGTATCATCTACATTATTCAGAGCACGAAAGATCGAACACAAATTCGATTTGTTAGACGAGAGCGAGCCTCCAAGTATTGGTAAAAAAATAATAGTGTTTAGTGTGCGAATTTCCCAATTTTTCCATCTTTTCGCGTCTTCTTTTCTGCACATCTAGATTGTTATATAAAGAGCTTTTGTTATTGCTGCTCATGAGGTTTTTTCTGCTTCGTCGTAGGTCAATGTCTCGTCCCCGAGAAAATCAACCGTTTATCGACGACCCAACCGACCGACTAATTGCATTATTTGCCGCATTACACTCTGTTTATGCGATTAACAGCCGCATCATTGCTATCGCGCCACGTTTTTTAAATACTTGATTTAAAAGCTAAATTGCCGCAAAAATAATAATAGCTCAAATAGTAGCTCAATAAGATTCCAACTGGGAATACTTACCGGTTTGTCCGTACGCAAATATACAGGCGTTGTAACCCTGAAATGCATTGTCCAAAATATCACGACCCAAGGCATCGAAAACGACCTCTTGACTCGCAAAATTCTCCACTCCAGGTTCCAGGGAATAAAAACAGTGGTCGAAAGCGAAAGTTTTCGGCTTGTTCCTACAACATTAATAAAATAATAAAATAATAAAATAATTTTCGTTATACAGGGTGTCACTTAAAGATCGCCCACTATGTACGTACCGTTATTCCTTACCAAAAAATGAGTCAAAAAATCCTGAATCATTTTTTTTTCTATAATACTTTAATAAAGGAATAATTATTGAGTAAAGTCAGGCCAATCAGCGCCGACACGTCAGTGAGCCGCATGCCTGGCTAAAGATTGGCGCTGATTGGCCTGACTTTACTCAATAATTATTCCTTTATTAAAGTATTATAGAAAAAAAATGATTCAGGACTTTTCGACTCATTGTTTGGTAAGGAATAACACTATGTACGTAGTGGGCGGTCTTTAAGTGACACTGTATAAAATTGACAAGAATGGATTACACGTCGAAACAGGTTTATGTCAATAATATCATGTTTTATAAAAATCAAAATAGTTTTCCTGTTTCAAATATCATTTCCCTTCTGTGGTATCAGCAAAAAAGGTCGCGCGGAAATGGCACATTGTTTATTGATTTTCAGTCACGTCTCAACTTCAATTAGAAAAGAGAAGAAGGAATAAGAAGAAATAAAACTCTACTTTTTCGCAACATAAGTTGTGATATTGAGTAGTGTTAAAAAAAAAACATATCTTAAGATTTTCGTAAAAATATATATTACACTAAATAAGACTTTTTAAGGTATTAAAAGATCATTAAAGGGCAATTTTCATTGATTATGTCAGGAAAAACATCGAAAACTTGATTAATAGCATGGCATGTACACTTAAAAATAGCTTATATAATAAATATCATTTGATAAAAGTTTGTGAATAATTTATATATGTGAATAACTTTTGCGCGTTAGCAATACGACGACGAATAGTGATTCGTATATCGATCAAATTCGCAAAGTAACGTGTATGAGTCACGCACAGTAAATGTGCGAAGGATTCAGAGTAGGTTGAACAATGCATAGAACACTATGTTTGATACCCACATACACACATTCTCATGTTCAATCACACAATTTACACATATAAATATTAATTATTAAAAATAAATATTAATTATATTTTAATTAATATATATTAGTTATATTACACGCGTATAATTTATACACATTATACATTATATATAAATTCTTCCTTAGTAAAACACTTTAGCATTTTATTTTCGCGCGAAACATTGCACAAATCGTTGCAACTTTATGAAAGAAAGTGGCAAATAATAATTAATTCAGAGAAGCATTATGAGACACTCAGTGTATTTAGGATTTATCATCACTTTTATCAAGGATGACTTTGCACTTCAGATACAGCGTAGGTTGCAACACGACAACTTGTGGAAGGCAATGGTGTGTGGTTGTTGCGACAATGGCTGTTCGATAGGAACCTTTCTTAATTAAAGGAAGAAGCAACCGGCTGACCACTATCGCATGTGACGACGGTATCTCCTTCCTTTAGATTGCATTTAGTATATATATCGACACGCGAGGTTCTGCAGCTTGGCGATTTTGACGGCACTCGAATGTTAAAAAGAAGCAATATATTTACATAATTTAATATTAAATAGTTGTAGCAAAATTATTGCGATAATAAATAATAAGTTCAAAACGGAGGAAATTTCGCGGATAAATAGCCTACATTTATTCGCTCTCGAAAATGTGCAAAGGTTGACCCGCATAATAGCTCTCGTGACCTCGTGTTTAAATTCTTCAGTTCAATAAATTTCTTGTGGAGGGTACGCTGTGTGAGCTAGTTTCGCACCTTATCGCGAACGATTTATTCCGTAGTACACACAAGTACTTTCCATGAATAGGGGTATCAACGATGTATCCTTAAAGTACTTCTCGCTTAAAATTCTCTAGGCGATTGGGTTTTAATGATAAGGATATGTAGTATCGGGAAGTTATTTTTTTAGATCGCAGTAACGTGCTTTGGAAAAAAAGGTCAAAAATAATAATAAGGATGCAGTCCAAGACTTTGATTTTCTTCGATCGCATTCAACTCCGTTTTCACCGAACGACGATCGATAGACGACCAACTCTACGCGCACAAGTCTACTTGATTATTATGAACAAAGTATAGTAGAGCGACTGTATGGCCGCATCATACCTAGATTATTGCACGTTACTGAACAATGCAAAAGAACGATAGCAAGCGTGCTATTGTACATCGCTAGACGATGCAAAAATAATAAATACTTTTGTATATTTGATCGTATTACAATGTTTTTTGTATCTTTGGTAATCTTTTATCTTTTTATTTAATAAGATTTGTTGAAAATTATCATAAATTAAATGACAAACTTGCGGAATCGACTGTGCGCAATTTGTATCATCTGTATCTACTCAGGTCGCAAAGTTTCACGAAATTGCAATTACGAGTCTTAATAATCAAGCGACTTCAAATTATTTAGACCGTGTATCATTTTGTGCTCGACTCAAAAATCTTGGAAATTTTTCCTCTAATATATGCGATTTTAAGGAATTTAACTTTAGTCCTTAATGAAGATCATTTTTTCATTATATAGTTGACGAGTCGTGATAAATTGTACGAAGGTAGAACAAATTGAAATTCCTTGTTGCATATATGTATATCACATGTAAACTGGGTCTCGATTAAATCTCAATTTCTTGCTATTAAATGGAGCTGCTCGCACAGAGACAGACAGAGACAGAGAGAGAGAGAGAGAGAATTGAGAGAAGCAGAATTTTGTAAATGCATGAGCAAGTAAAAGTGTGATACATATAGGGAAATTCTTCCTTTCTCTGAACTACTTTGTATGCATATGTTAGAAAATATACATTTCTTTTATCTTCTATTTAATTAAAATTCTTTGAGATGCGATTTATGAATCAGGGAGATAAATCATAGATCTCTCAGTTGAAATTCAAGCTCAAGCCATTCCCTTAATCTCGTGATATTAAAAGATTGCATAAAAGAGAGAGGAAATTACTGATTGCCGATAAAAAAAAAGATACCTGCGCCATCGCATCCTCTCTCTCTCTCTCTCTCTGTTTTTCACACGAGATTTTTAATTTTGAGCAAATCATTTGTAATATTATAGTTTTTGATTTCCCGTTCATCTATTTAGCCCAAAAAAATAATCCCCAAAAAATACAATTTATAAAATTACTAGGTCCTAGAACGTTCCATCCCTTTCATTTTCGAGCGATAATCATTATCTTTTATTTTCGAAACTGCGCTTACGTTAGTTGCAATGTCAAAGTTGAGATATATATACATCGTGATTAGAGTATTGTAACGATCCTAAATACACGCTAGATTGATCTGGACCGAACAATAGCTTTTATCTAAACGATTCGCAAACGTACAGAGATTTCCAATGTATGATCCGTAATCGTTTTGTTTTGTACGGATATATCTATATACATCGGAGTAAATCGATTTCAATTATGTCAGTCCTCGATACAAAAGCTCGAATCGAGGTAGCAGAGTCGTGTAAAATTAGACGGGGACATGTTCTTTTTTTTTCTTTTTTCTTTTTTGCTTCACCTCATTGCTTAACGTATGAAAGTAGATTGAGCGTAATCGATCCAACGAAAAGCTCGCACGACGAATTCTACTTTTCGCTCACGATAATTAGCATACATATACACATACACACACACACACACATATGTATGCACACGAACACACCTCGCGTGTGGTCGGCGACCCGTTGTGCAATAACCAAGTAACGTATACAAATTTCCTGACCCATATTCCCACATCGTTCTATCATTCAGTGTCGAGTCTCACGGTCACTGGAAATCAAGCTTTAATTCCATTAGGTTTAGACTTATGAGAAATTGCAGCGGCATTTAAGCACAATAAAAATGCTTTTTAAAGGCACCGAATTGTCAAAGTCAAAGCAAAAAAAGAGCCAACTTTATTTTCCATGTTATTTAATTATTTTGACAATTGTTCGCTGCAACGAAATAACACCGAGATGACAATTATCAATTAATATATTTGTACGCTCGCGGATATTATCTTGTAACTGGATTGAACGATCGGGTAAAATTGAGCGTGAAACTTATAATTATTCAATACACACCTGCTGATCTCCATGTTTCGTTTTCATCCGAATCGGCTATAACGCAAAAGCCGCAGTTATGCATGAGATGCATAAATGGCGTGCGTTGAAGTTAATTTGATCGAGAAGGTAAAGGAAAAAAAAACAATAGAAGAAGAACGTGTAATCCGCAATGCGAAACACACGGATCATCATTGTTTTCGAATAAATGCAGGCACAAGAAAAGAACTAACAGAGATGTCATTATAAGAAACGATTTTGCAGTCTAACAAAGCTTATCGTAATCCATTATAATTAATGTATATTGATATGTATGAAAATTACCGCAATACTGTCTATCTTCTCAAAACAATTAATGTATCATATCCATATTTTTGAGATATTTTTCAGAAGCTCTTTGACAAAAATAAAATGGTAAATGTTATCGAAAGAATTTTCAAAACAAAAAAAGTCTTCCTGTGAATCTTGTTAATCTCAATGAATTATATGTAGGTGTCATAAATTATTACTCGATTTTATAAATAATCGACTTATTTTCGCAGCAATAATTCTTAACATTTTTCATAGACTAACTTGCATGGAACATTTACATTTTAAAATCATGCGTGGAACATGTTTATTATGTTACATTAATTTTACACACATAAAGATCTTTATATAGCTTTGAAATAGTTTGGTAAATAGTATGATTATAATAAGTTGAAATATTAGTTAAAGCATAAGTTGAAACATTGTTAAGTATAAGTTGAAATATAGTTTATAATTCTACCCACATATATATCTAGCAAGCATTTAATAAGTTCCAGTTTTGTGGATATAAATACACACAAAGATGGAGAAGAAGCGAAGGCCATGGCACAATAGTGATTCATTGTTCATACATACTCGATGTTACCGAAGAGAAATTTTCAACTTTGTTTAAACGACCCATTTATATAAATGTGATATATTACGAATGTGTATGATGACCTC